TGTGCTGGCATGTTCCCTGCTAAGACACTATCACTTTTGACAGCGGAGGGGTCCTCCGGTGCACTGGCTGCCTCAAAGGGCAGCACACTCCAAGCCATAACCGGTACTGAAATGCTGTCCTTACGGTGTCACTCTGTACAGCAGGCCAGTCTTCACTGTCAGCGCCCAAAGGGGCCTTAGGATGGGGCCTGAGTGCACTGACCGAAGCCGGGCTAATTACGAACCCCTGACAGGGACTATTCGCTGGGGTGCGCTGCGAAGTGAGGTTCCAGGAGACCCGAGCGTCCAGCTGACCAAGCCCTTAAGGGACTCCCTCGCCGCAGCGGGACCCCCTCCGGGACCCGCAGAGCAGCTTCCACTCCTGCCCGCAGCCCTCTGCTCCCTCCCACCCCGCCCCAAGAAGGAACTCACTGTTCTGGGGGCTACACACAAGGCGCCCTGCACCCCCCGCAGGCCCAGCAGTCCGGGAGGAAGGAGCCCCTCTCCTTTTGACCCCACCAACCCAGGGTCCTAAACTCAAACCGCTAGCCGGAGCGAGAAGTGGCCGGCGGCATTTCCGGGGCCTCTCTAGGAAACGGGCGGCAGCCAGCTCGTTGTTCTTAACTCTTAGGGCCCCGGACAGAAAGGAGGGAGCTGGTGGGGTTCCCTCTCTTGGGCTGCCATTCGCCTTCTGTGATTCTCATCCCTCACACTAGTCAGGTTCCTGTAATAGGGGCCTGATTAGAGCATACGCTTTTCTTTGACCTAAGGGCATCATTACTTAACATCATCATCACAATCATTAGAATCAAAATAAATGGAGTATTTATTAAGCACCTATTCTTTCTGTTCTCACCGCTGTGGATACATCATTTAGCTACCTGTGAAACTGGAGGAGCTAAGGCATCCATCCACATATAAAACAAGTCGCTTACAAAGCGCCATTATTACTAATATTCGGAGAAACACTAGACTCTTATCAGAACCAGAGGAATCTGCAAACAAATGTTACTCTATTAGTTCCCCTTCCCCCATATATTTACCTTCCTACAGTTTGCCTCCCTTGGAAGCCTAAAACTGTTTTACTTTGTCTTATCATTTCTCTATAGATTTGTTATTCTTTGTTGAAGATGTTATATGAGCCAGAGTTCTAAGTCATCTATTTTAGTTACTCTTTGTTTACATATAACCTATAAATATAGATGTGTATACATGGGGTGGCAAAAATAGGTTTACAATTGTTCCTATGGAAAAACAATACAATAATTAATAACTAATACAAGAATAAACTCTGTTTCATATACTGGTACTCACAACTGTAAACCTACTTTTGCCCAACCCAGTAAATGAGATAATACATGTTAATAAACTTCTGTTTGTTTTCGTTTTTTAATCTGGTTGTTTTGTTTTGTTTTTTGTTACGTGTGTCCAAGCTGAGAACTTAGAAGGAAAAGGATTTTTTTTCCTCTTTTCCACTAGCAATCAGATAATATCTAAATTTCAGGAGCTTTCTATTGAGCCTCGTTTTGGCAACTGTGTTCCTCCCACTGGATGCCAAACTGCTTGTGGTTTTCAGAACACGGCTTGCTCTTCCACGCTTTTGTGCCTTACTCTCTTCCACCATATCACTGCTTCTGGCACGTCTAGCCGTGTCCCTCTGCCTACCTCTAGCTGTGTAGAAAATGTCCACTCCTCATTTCAGCTCAAGTATCTTCTCCTTAGTTTAGTACCCTTTCACTCTCCCAGGAAAACTTAGACCCTTTCCCTCCCCAAACTGTATTCTGTTTATTAGATTACAGTGTTCTATGTCCCCAGAAATTCTGAACCAACTGAGAAATAGACAGGGGTATCAGAGAAGGATCAAAACGAACACCTTTGTGACAGGTAAAGCTGGATTAGAGCGCTGGCCTTGGGTCCAAGACTTCCTGCAGGTCCTCACGCATTAGACTGGCTTATTCTCTCAGTTGTAGGACAGAGAAATCCTGCCCTGGAAATGTCATTGACCACATGCACAAGAAGCAGATAACAGGTAATAAATGTTCCATGGGCGGGAAGATCTTAGAGTCCCCAAGGAGGGATAAATCACACACACACACACACGTTCAGTCCTTTTTCCCCCTCTCTCAGCTATTAAATAAGTTGTTGTTTCTGACCCCATAAGTGATAAGGGGTAAAGTTTGAGGCAGTCGAATGAAGGGCAGAAGATTTTCACAAAAATGGAAGTTCTTATTTTATAAAGCTGCAGAAATATGGGGATCAGAAAATAATGGCTCTCCTTTACATCTGTAAGATTCTTGAAGGTGCCTTTCAATAAACATCACAGACTGGATTCAAACAAGAACAAATGAACAAACTTGCTCACCAGGTTGTCTTATATTATAAACTATGTCATCCAGGTTAGCAGGAGAGTTCTCTGAACACAGGAATCCTGTTTTAGTCTTACATTCCAAGCATACAGCACATAGTAAAATGCAATGGATACTGAATGGTTAAATAAACTCCTAGGTTACAAGGTATAGACGTCAGTGATGATATATCCTATTGTGAAGCCTGGACAATTCAAGTCCCTTTATTTCTCCTTTCACTTTTCTTGTTTCCTTTGTGCTTTCACTCAATTATTCAGCAGATATGTAGTGTCAATTACTATTGACTCCTACAGGGTCAACCTGAACTGAAGTTGGTGTAGATTCTCCTCACCCCTAACTGATGGGTACAGGCACTGGCGGGTGAACTTTGGCCTTCCCCAGCCATGGCTGCTTTCAGGCATCAGTGTCAATGATAAAACAGTTCAAACTGTCTTCATAGGGATGCTCTCATAGTGTTTTCCGCTTCAAGTTACCGTCGTTTAAGCCATAAGGGTATTATTATTAACTTAAGAATGTCTAAGGCAGGCAGTGCGGGATGGATTAAACAGGTCAGTGATTTTTTTCAAGAACCCATGCCATTTCACTCCTTACTCTCTATCATCCTCAGCGTTGTGATGGCGTCTCCCCCTCAGGCTTCTCACTTCCTGGCTACAAGATGGCTGCATCAGCTCCTCCCATCACACTGTATCACCACAGTATGCAATGCAAGAAACAAAGGGAAGAAGACAAAAGGCTTTATTTTTATGTCCCTTGCTTTTCCTAAGGAAAAACATATTTTCAACCCCCCTCCGTAGACTTCCACTCCTGTCTCATTGGCCAGAAATTGATCCCGTGCCCTCTGATTAGACCAATCATTGCAAGGGGGAATGGGATTGTTGTGAGTGGCTGAGGCCAACATGATTTGTCCTCTGGAACTGAACACATTGCCCAAACCAGATTAGTAAAAAGGGGAAGACTGACGATAAACTGTCTGCCACGACAAACATGAAA